GATTCTCAAAAAATTAAATATATAAGTAAATATTATCAAAGGTTACATATCTCCATTTGATTGCCAGCACTTAGAACTCTGTTACAGGTTTGTAGTACCATGGTTGAGGTCTGAAATTATCTAAATATGGATGAGCAAGTTTTGGATCCAGTTTGAAATATCAAAGAAAAAAAGGGTCTGAGCAGCTTTTGTCCAGGGGACCAGTTGTACTGAGACAGCACACTCAAATTCTGATTATCACAAAAGATCTCTAACATGCAACCTACATAGAAATAGAGGTGTAACCAAAGGTATAAAACTTATGTTGTGAAATGTTTAAAGGTAGTCGTGCTGCTTTCAAGAATGAGCATATTCAATGCAAATAAGTCACATTTTTAAAAATTAATCAGTGATAGTTATTGAGTTTATGTTTATGCTTAAAATTTATGAAATTCTGGAAAACCTACAACCAATTATGGACCAGATTCTGTAACTGTCACTTATGTTGATCAATCCTGACTCAGGTGCTTGACTTGTGCTATTGACTTCCTTGGGCTATTCACACAGGTAAGTACTAGTCAGTGGGGAAAAGATTACACAGACAGACACACGCATGTGCTCACACACACACCAACCCTGCAAACTAAGGAGACGTTTGGGTCCAAATACCAATCTGAAGTCTGAATGACTGGAATGAAAATGAAACATGGAAAATCTCAGATGCTGCTGGAGTTGGCTCACCAGCACCTTTTCATTTACCTTCCCTAAAAAGCGTGATTGGTGATTTTTCTCACTTCTGAGACTATCCTGTCTAAATTGTTTTGTAAGTGAGCCACAGCTGTAGCCAGTGCTGTCATTCTATTTCCAGTTCCGCTTTTGGGGTAGTAGAAGCTATCATTCAAGATAGTAGCAACCATTGGTGTCAAAATATCAAACTTACCATATAGACTCGTTCATAAGCCGAATTTTTTTAGTAAAAAAGGAAGCAGCAGAGAAAGAGGTTGTCTTATGAACGGGTATAGAGAGGGAGAGGTGGGAAACAGCCCCTCCCCCCAACAGAGGGAGCAAGGAGAGACAGCACAGCCAGCAGAGCCAGAAAGGAAGAGGTGGGGGTCAGAGTCTCTCCGCTTCTGGCCATGCTGCTCTCCCCCCAGCCTCTGAAGCAGCTGCAGCTCCTGGGCTGGCAGGATGCAGCCGTGCCACTCGGCTCCACCCCCCAGAGCAGGCTGTGGCTGCGCCACCTGGCCCACCGGAGCACACTGTGGTCGTGTTGCCCGGCCCAGCCCGCTGGAACATGCTGCGGCCACGCCCCCCAGTTTGGCCCACCGGAGCAGGCTGCAGCCGCGCTGCCTCGCCTGCCGGAGCAGCTCCAGCCAAGCCAGAGACATCCTTCCCTGGCCCTCCCCAGATAAGGTGGGATGGGATGGGGAGAGTGTGGGGGTCCCGGGCTAGGGGTGGGGTCATGTGGGAGGTG